CGACAAGACCCAACAGGCCTCTGGGTGAGTAGATTCGTCTGGTGTACCGCCGCACAGTTTCTTACTCCTTTTTGCAGCAATGCCCAACACGACAAGGGTGTCGCTCAACAAGAAGTCAACAAGAACTTCTAAGCCACTCTCTCTTCTTGATCACACCTCCTCTCTTGCTGCTATCATTATTGCCGGGAGTGTGTTGTTTATAGTTTAGTCGTCGTTAATAAGAAGTAATTTTGAGTCAATCATTCTTGTGTGCTAGTTGAATTTTGTGTCTACAAAAGTAGCGTTTCTAAATCTCGGAAAGCCCACTGCTTTCCCTCCACCGTCGATACTTTTCAATGACTGCCAGAGTGATCCCCCGACGAGCCTTTCGTGCCGCTGTTAGGAAATGCTCCTTGGACACAAACGGGGCGTGCACATCCTCTCGCATTGCAATCATGGCCGCTTCTTGGCAGACCGCCGCCAACTCGGCTCCTGAGCATCCTTCGGTCTACCGTTGTCAGTAAGCGCTTTATCATGTAGGCGAAATACACACCATCCCAGCCAACTCTTGAAAGTCGACACCTGGTCCAATCGTCATTTCCCTCGTCCGAATCCTGAGGATCTCTTCCCGACCCGCCAAGTCGGGCGGACCGACATACAAGATCTTGTCTAGCCGTCCAGGTCTCATCAGTGCAGAGTCCTTTGTAATTTTAGCAACCCAAGTTCGAAAGTAGGTTCATTGCGACGAACCATGACATCGGGTCTATTCGTAGCTGCCACGACAATGACTCCATGGAGGTCCTGTATCCCATCCATTTCATTGAGCATGCTCGTGAGCACTCCCTCGTGTGCCCCTGTTCTACCATCTTCCCCCCTTGCGGTTCCTAGTGCATCAATCTCGTCCTACTCGTGTATGGGTCAACCTATTCCGTCCAGCTATTCCAACCACTTACAAAGAATACGATGCACGGCGCTCCAGCACGAGCCTTGGAAAATATCTCCCTGACCGCCCGTTCACTCTCGCCCACAAATTTGTTGAGCACCTCCCCTCCTCTCACCGCCAAAAAGTTGATCCCACTTTCTGTCGCCAGTGCTTTAGCGGTAAGCGTCTTGCTACATCCTGGTGGACCATAGAGCAAGACACCTTTTGTCGGTTTCACTCCCAACCGTGTTAAAGTTTCGGGGTAGAGTAGTGGCCATTCGATCGCTTCGACCAACTTGGCACGGATTGCAGACATGCCCCCGATAGACGACCAAGGTACTCTGGGAGTTTCGAGCACCAATGAACGCAGTGCAGAAGGCGACGTGTGAGGGAGGGCATGGGTAAAGTCGGAAAAGAGGATTGACTGGGAAGGATCGGCTGACGATTCGGTAGAGGAGTCTGCAGCGAGGATACGTTTGATGGCTATTGTGCCGGCCTCTCGCACCAGGCCAGCCAGATCAGCCCCTACATATCCGTGTGTCTGACTTGAGATCGTTTGAAGTTGCTCGGGCGTTACTTCGTGTGGCGTCTTTTTGAGGAGGACTTGAAGGATGTCCAACCGAGCAGAAGCATCTGGTATACCTATGTCGA